TAGGCTCACTGCAAGCTCCGCCTCCCAGGTTCACGCCATTCTCCTGCCTCAGCCTCCCGAGTAGCTGGGACTATAGGCGCTGCCACCACGCCCAGCTAATTTTTTGTATTTTTAGTAGAGATGGGGTTTCACCATAGCCAGGATGGTCTCGCTCTCCTGAACTGCCTCAGCCTCCCAAAGTGCTGGGATTACAGGTGTGAGCCACCGTGCCTGGCCCTCCTGCTGTGAATTTTCTGAACCATGACATGTGAGTTAATTTGCACAGGTTTTCCCCCATTACTTAGATGCATAGGGTTTCCTTCCTGTGTGACTTCTCACATGACCTTGAAAGGCTTTGGGACAACTGAAAACTTTCCCACATTTTTCGCATTTACTGGGCTTCTCTCCAATCTGCATTCTTACATTTTTGGAAGAGCAAAGCTCGCCTGAAGGCTTTCCCACACTGGCTGCATTGACAGGTTTCTCTCCTGTGTGCTTTTTCTCATGTTTGTGTAAAGATGAGGACCAACCATACGTTTTCCCACATTTTCCACATTTATAGACTTTCTCTCTAGTTTGCAATTCGACATTTGTGGAGGGGTGAGGCCTCGCTGAAGGCTTTCCCACGTTGCCCCTACTCACGGGCTTCTTTTTAGCGTGCGTTCTTGCGTGTTTGTGTAAGGAGGAGGGCCAACCAAATGCTTTCCCGCATGTTTCACACTTATAGGGTTTCTCTCCATTGTGAATTCTCACGTGTCGCTGAAAGGATGTTGCCCAGCAGTAGGCTTTCCCACACTGCTTGCACTCGTAGGGTTTCGCTCCAGCGTGCATGATCGTATGGACTCGAAAGGATTTCTGACACCTGAAGGCTTTCCCACAGTGCTTGCACTCATACGGCTTCCCCCCAGTGTGCATCATCACATGCGCCCGAAAGGATTTGGGACAACTGAAGCCTCTCCCACACTGCCCACATTCATAGGGCTTCTCTCCAGTGTGAGTCCTCACGTGTTCGGCGAGAGAGTGAGAACGAAGAAACGTCTTCCCGCAAGATTGACAGGCATAGGGCTTCTCTCCACTGTGGGTCTTCTCATGCATCTGTAGGTAGGAAGGGCGACTGAAGGCTTTCCCACATGCCTTACATGTATATAATTTTTGTCCAGAGTGAGCTCTTCGGTGCCTCATCAGGGATGAGGAATGGGTGAAGAGTTTTCCACACTGACTGCATTCATACCGTCTCACACCGGTACGATGATTCTTGCGCAGATGACGATTACAATTTCGAGTCTTTCTGAAGGTTCCTCCACGCTTATTACCTTTACCGCTTTTACATGGTCTCTCCACCCTTGGATTTCTGCTAAAAATGGGCAGCACATTATTAATGGTTTATCCTTCATAATTTATTTATTTTTTCCCTTGAGGCAGAGTTTTGCTCTTGTTCCCCAGGCTGGAGTGCAATGGCACGATCTTGGCTCACTGCAACCTCTGCCTCTTGGGTTCAAGTGATTCTCCTGCCTCAGCCTCCTGAGTAGCTAGATTATGGGCACGCGCCACCACTCCCGGCTAATTTTGTATTTTTAGTAGAGACAGGTTTTCTCCATATTGGTCAGGCTGCTCTCGAACTCCCAACCTCAGGTGAGCCACCTGCCTTGGCCTCCCAAAGTGCTGGGATTACAGGCGTGAGCCACTGTGCCCAGTCAATTATTTCTTTTTGTTTTTTTTGTGTTTTTTTGAGACAGAGTCTTGCTCTGTCGCCCGGGCTGGAGTGCAGTGGCCGGATCTCAGCTCACTGCAACCTCTGCCTCCCGGGTTTACGCCATTCTCCTGCCTCAGCCTCCCGAGTAGCTGGGACTACAGGCGCCCGCTGCCTCGCCCGGCTAGTTTTTTGTATTTTTTAGTAGAGACGGGGCTTCACCGTGTTAGCCAGGAAGGGCTCGATCTCCTGACCTCGTGATTCTCCCGTCTCGGCCTCCCAAAGTGCTGGGATTACAGACTTGAGCCACTGCGCCCGGCCAATTATTTCTTAATATATATTAATGAACATTAGGATAACATTTTTGCCATTTTCTGTACAAGGGTATAAGTTTCCTGTATTGTTGAAATTATTTCAAACTGGAATAAACGAAATAGTCTGGTAGAAAGTTCAACCACAGCCCACTACAAAAACAATAGTAATATATGGGGTTCTCCCAGAATTGTTTCTAACAGAATTATCTTTTTTTTTTTTTTTCACTCTGTTGCCCAGCCCAGGCTGGAGTGCAGTGGCACACTCTTGGCTCACTGCAACCTCCGCCTCCCGGATTCAAGCAATTCTCCTGTCTCAGCCTCCTGAGCAGCTGGGATTACAGGCACCTGCCACCACGTCCATTTTTGTATTTTTAGTAGAGACGGGGTTTCACCATATTGGTCAGGCTAGTCACAAACCCCTCACCTTAGGTGATCCGCCTGCCTCGGCCTCCCAAAGTACTGGGATTACAGGCGTGAGCCACCGCACCCGGCGATACTGCCTTTTTCTTGTTTCTTTTTTTTTTTGAGACGGAGCCTCGCTCTGTCGCCCAGGCTGGAGTGCAGTGGCCGGATGTCAGCTCAC